TAAATGACCGAAGTCATAAATCGCCTCAAAATCCCATTAAATGCCACAATAAAGCAATGTTGTGTTACCGTAGCGTAAACGCGCCTCTCCCTAGCACGGCGATAAGGGCGAGAGTGCTGTAATGGGCCAAGGCAGAGTCACCCCTCCGGCGCAGACTCCCGGGGGACCAAGGGAGATAATACGCTCCTGCCGAGGGGAGGGGGGGTAAGGAGTGTGAAGAAGGGGGTCAGGGGTGGGAAGAGGGGGAGGAGGGAGAAGGGATGGGGGAAGGAAGACGGGGGAGGAAAGAGAGACATGAGGAGAGAATTCTCCGGCTGTGTTACTGCATCACGTACGCTGAGCCACCAACCACTTTATAGACGCATGTGTCCAAGACGGGAAAGTGACCACGAAAAACACAAAAAGCCAACCACTTCCATTCATCTCCGAGGACGACCTTCGAGGCCGTGAGCTGGGGGAGGGGGCGGGGGAGGGGGAAGGGGCGAGAGACAGAGAGGATTTAAAAGGTCGACCTCGAAAGCCAGAATCAGGAGGACAAGACGGAAGTGAGGAGGGGCGACGCACATGAGAGGCAAGGGCGGTTCGAGGGCGGATGCTGCCTTGGAGGTGCATTTTGTGGCCGGCGGAGAGGGGGCGGAGGCAAGGATGGAGAGAAATGAGGGAGAAAGGAAGGAAGGCAGGGTAAGAGGGAGGGAAGAAAATATAGAAAGAAGGAGAGGAAGAAAGACAGAGAGAAGACAAGAAGAAATGCGAAAGGGAAGAAAAAGCAAAAGGAAAAGGGAGTACAAAGGAAAGGGAGACGTGAGGGTGGAAGCAGACGTTGCCCTGTTGCGGGAGGAGGAGGAGGAGGAGGAGGAGGAGGAGGAGGAAGGAGGAGGAAGAGAACGAGGAGGGAGGGAGTGAGAGAGATATTTGCATTCCGTAACAGACCCACTTATCTGTGCCATATTTCAAAGGGGGGGGGGGGTAGAAGAGAGGGAGGGCGAGAGAGGAAGGAAAGGAGGGAGGGAGGGAGGGAAGGAGGGAAGGAGGTGCCAGAGCGTGGAGGAAGACGGGAGGGGAGGACCGGCTACTTTCTCCCCCTCTCTCCTCCCCCCCGCCTCCTTCCTCTATTGCCCCTGCTTTATGATCCCTGCTCTTATTGCTCTTGTCGGATCTCACTTGAGAGGGGAGAGGAGGGGGGGGGGGAGAGGGCGGCGCCTGTCGCTCTCTCCCTTTTCCTCTTTCTCTCCATTTCTACACCCATTCTTTCACTTTCTCTCCCTCTTATACATTTCCCTACTCGGATTTTTTGAGACAGAAAGAGATAGAGAAAAAGAAAGAAAGAGAAGGATATGCACACACACACACACACACATATGTCTATGTATGTATCTCTCTCTCTCTCTCTCTATATATATATATATATATACATACATATATATATATATATATATATATATATATATATATATATATATATATATATATATATGTATATGTATATATATATATATATATATATATATATATATATATATATATATATATATATATATATATATAAAGAGAGAGAGAGAGAGAGAGAGAGAGAGAGAGAGAGAGAGAGAGAGAGAGAGAGAGAGAGAGAGAGAGAGAGAGAGAGAGAGAGAAAGGGTTAGAGGGGGAAATGCATCGTGGTTGCCAATTACACTTAACCAGTTTTTGTTCCCCATTGCATAAGTTCGTTGCGTTTGTTTGTTCAGCGACGGTATGCAAGGACCTTTATTTGCCTGTTGACAATTAGGAACAAGAACACAGAGACGATTGGAAGTCAATCATGAAAACGATTAACATTTTAAAAAGTACAAAGCATTTATAACAGCAACCAAATAAACATATCAAAAATAAAAATGAAACTGTGTACACTTAAGAAAAAGCTAAGCTTTAATGAAGATATGTTGAAGAAAAAAAAACAGGTAAATGAAACGGACGCGGGAAATTAAGTAAAAGAAAAATGCTTTAGTTGTATATTACAAAGAAAAACAGACAAAGATAAAACATGAAATAAACAAAAGCTACGGCACAGGACAGGTACAACACGGAAAATATGAATATATGAGAATGTAAATACTCATGAAAAGAAAAACAATACAAATAAATCCAAATGAAATCAGACAAGTATAAAAAACGATTTCTTTCCTCAAAAAGAGAGAAAGACTGAAATAAAAAATCACGCGCTAAGAAAAATGAAATAAAATCACGTCCAGGCGATAGATGGCAGCACCAGCACAAAGGCTCACGGACAGATGGCAGCACCGAGAGCGAAGCGCACCGACAGATGGCAGCACCGACAGAGAGGCGCTCGCAACAGCCTTTCACTAACTCCCGGCCGTTAACGAACTTCCGGTTTTAATTAAGTATTCTGTCTGGACAATCCGGCCGACGTCTCTGCTACGCCACATGTCGCCTTATGAGTCGCTGTTTCTATTCTTTCTTCGTCGGTTCCCTCTTTTATTTGGATTTTCTTTTCGACAATACT